AACATGAAATGGAAGCTGGACTCTTCAAAAGTTTAGCCCAAGATGAAAGAGCCTCAACTCCTCCTCAGGGACAGTCCCTTCCCAGAGAGGAACATAGCTCCAGGATTCTCAGGGAAGGTCAGTGCTAAGCGCGGCTCCTGATTCACAGATTAAAAATTAGATAAAATATATCCAGTCTATTAGCTGAAATCTTTCCTCTGTACAGGACTGGGACTCACACGGGATATCAGCTGTTCCAGTCTACAAGTGCTCCCTCCGAGATCAGAAACCTCCCGTCTGACCCAGCTCTGCAGAGCTTTCACACCCCCAGGGAAGGAAGAGTTGTGCGTTTTTAAGGCTCTCCATCTCCACAAAAGGGTGGCTGAAAGATCTGTTCTCCAGTGCTATTTCCAGCTCATTGGAATGCCTGGTGGAACCGTGGCAGCGTGGTTGTGCTCAAGCTGGAGGTGAAGACGGGGGGCAGTGAATGAAGGGGCCCAAAGTTCAGTGAGGCCCCGGCTCCAGGAGACTCTTGAGGTTGATGTTGCAAAGTGGTGAGCAGTGGCTGCGCCTCCCCCTGCGAGTAGCCCATGACCAATCCCCCCGACGATACAGGTGGATTGCAAGGAGGAAGATTTAGGGGGAGGAAGCCAAGAAGATGAGAAAAGTCCATGTTAGCAGCACAGAGAGCCTCTGAGAGGTTAGCAGGGCTCTTGGAAAGCAAAGCCTCGTCCAGGGCAGGTGGCTGAGGCGAAGAGGACTGAGGCTCACCAGATGAGAGAGACAGGCTGCCAGGGAAGTCTGACAAAAAGCTGTCCACCTCTACTTTGGGTAGTTTCTCAGGCAAATATGAGGTAGATCCAAGCTGATACTTTGGAGGAGGTTGCGGCGGGGAGGAGATGGGAGAAGAAGACTCCAGAGGATAGCTCATTCCCATTGGAAGAGAATTAGGAACCAAAGAATGGGGCATGCCTGAGCTTGGCATGGTTTGAAGATGCGTGCTGTACATGCCCACAGGCAGCATGCCAGGGAAGCTCTTACCACCCATCATGTCTCTGGATGCCATGCACAGGACGGGGCTCAGCTCTTCCTTCACTGCGACAGAGGAGCTGCAGCTGAGCAGACCCAACATGTCAACTGGCTCCGTCTTAATCTTCAGCAGTTCCTGGGAGTGGCTTTTCTTCATGTGCCTGGTCAGGTGATCTTTCCTCCCAAACCTCTGAGCACAGTACTGGCACAAGAAGTCCTTCCTGCCCGTGTGCACCACCAAGTGTCTCCGCACGTCTTTCCGGGTGTAGAAGCGCCGATCGCAGTGGTCACACGGATGCTTCTTTTCCTTCGCCCCGCCGGACGCCCGCCTGGAGTGAGCTTTGAGGTGCTCCAGCAGGACCTGGGTGCTCTCAAAGGTCTGCAGGCACACCTTGCAGCTGAGATCACCGCTGGCAGCCGCGTGCATGGCCAGGTGTCGCCTGAAGCCCAGCTTGGTGTTGTAGTTCTTGCCGCACTCGGGGCAGTGCAGGGCCTCCTTGTTGGGATCGTGGGTCTGGAGGTGGTTCCGAAGGTGGTCCTTCCGGTGAAACATTTTCTCACAGTACATGCACTGGTGAGGCTTCTGAGCAGAGTGCGTGGCCATATGCCTTTGGGGAGAAAAGCAGGAAAGGTTAGGCAAGCGTCCAGCCCCTGAGGGGGGACACAGGCTACTTCTCCAAAATTTTCCTCACGTCCCACACTTTATGCCACAAAAATCCCAGATGGCATTTTACCGCCACTAAAGGTCAGGCACAGGAGCACAACATTTCAGGCAACAGGTACAGAGTCTGTCCCAGCAGTTACAGAGTCTGTCCCAGCAGTGCCCGTCCTCCCCAGAACGCATCACCTCTGCACAGGGGCACTGCAGCCGCCTCTCCTCAGCTCCTGCCCTCTGCTGAGGCTGCCAAAGGGCAATTGGCAAAGAAAACCTCAGTAGTTTGTGACACAAAATGCTCGTCTGCAGGTTCTGAACGACTTCAGCTCATCAGGAGGATCAGGCTGTGGCCAGGTCTGCTGGCAGCCACTGTGCTCTGATTTTACCTTGAGATCTCATGCTTTCTGACACTGTGGTTCATCTAGTTTCAAGTTCCCACTGATCACAGTTTAATTATTCTATGTTCTACTTCAGTACATAAATGGCAACTCTACTTCTTCATGCTGGAGCAACAGGTGCCATGGAATTATCCCTGTGGTTAAAGTCAGAGGTGGGGCTTAAGAATGCAAATGCTATTCTTGCTTTTCATTTTGTTTTTTAATCTGTGAACTTCACTTTTTGCTTCAATTTCCTCTTTAGTAAAACAGAAAACAGCTCAAGCTCGGGATAAAGAGTTATCTGAGGTTCTCTGGAAGGCGCTTAAAGAGATGCCAAGTATGGTAATGTCTGGGACTCAACTGCTTTGCAAGGTAAAAGGGCATTTCCCCTCCTCCAGCTTCTCAGAAATTCAAGCAAAGACACACGAGGGAGGGGTTTTCCCCTGTCTTCTGGCAGTGCTGGGCAGAGGCACTCACAGGTACCTACCTATAGAGCTTGTACTTGGAAGCAAAGGCCTTGCCACAGTGCAGCTGGGGGCAGTTGTAGGGTCTCTGCTCCGAATGGGAAAGCGTGTGAGTTCTCAGCTTGTCCACGTGAGGGAAGGAGGGCTCCGATAGTTCACACTGGCATTTTCCCTGACTTTCGGTCTCTTCACCTCTTGGTCTGGGGACTAATTTCCAGGCTGTCTCTTCCTCCTCCTGCTTTGCATCTTGAATCCAGTTGGGAACACTGGGAAAAAATGCTGTCATGGCAGGTCTAGTAGAGCAGGGCCATGTCAAGCAGAACTCGAGCCTGTGGGCGGCTCGCTGGGGTGTTGTCCTGGTGCAGTTTTCTGTTGGAGCCCTCTGTGACCAAACTGCTTTAACAGCCAAACTTCTTCATCTGAAATCACAGAAGGCTGGTGTTAACAAACTGCATCCTTCACCCCTGCACACAGACACGTGTGAGAAGCATTTAACAAGCATTATGAACATGACACGGTCTCCACTAAGTTTTTCTTTCTTTTTTCCCTTAACCTGTTACCTGAATAAAAGCACGTTAAGCTTTTTCTGAATTATGTTTTTTCGCAACTATTAAAAGCCAGTGTTACCTGTTACCTGTATTTTCTCCTGAAACACTGTAGAGAGGTGTCTCCTTGTAGCTCTAAATACCTTCCCCCATGTGTTTTTTGGACCGCTGCTCATCCCATTTTTTCATATTCTCTCTTGCTCTTGGTCTCTGCTTACACAGAATCCCCTCCTAGAGCTTCTCAGAGAAACAAAGGTTCTCTTGTATTTTTTTCTTTTTTTCACATCCATTCTGCTGCCAGCTTGCTGCTCTGAGCAAACCAACCTGAACCATCACACGTGAGTGAACAGGGCTGGGGAAAAAAACTCACAACTGCCAGCAACATAACACCTTTTCCAGGAAGGCAACAGATGCTGCTCCTCTTCAGGGTGGGATTACTCACTGCATTTTCACTTCTCAACTCTGAGGCAGATTCTGCCTCTCTGGATTAGCAAGTTTTATACAGGAATGAGCAATTCTTAATCCTTTTTTTTTTTTGACACTCTCTTCCATTAATAATGGAAGCTCGAACTGTTTCCTGTTCAAAAAATAACAGGCTCCTGTGAGCCCTGCTGGCTTTCATGTTGATGAAGATCTACATTAACATCTCTTAGCAGGTTGTTCTTGAGTTCTGTGTCTTGTTGGAGAATTACAACGTTTTTGAACAGTTCTACCACCACCTCGACTGTTAAACAGCCAGCTGAAATAAAAACGATCTTTCACTTAATTTGGCTGCCCGAGAAACTCTTCTTAAAATAGCATCAAACCCTCAAGCTCTTTCTCACTCCAGGATTGCTTCAGAGGAGGAACTTCCTGCTGCACATCAGCACGAGTGCCAGTTGTGGGCAGGATGTGCAACTGCGACGGAACAAACCAACCCCTGGTAAGAAAGTGCTCAGGGAACGTTGTGGAGAGCTGAAATAAGAACTAGTGTGAGTGAAACATCAGCCCCAGTATGGGGTGGGAAACACTTGGAAGTGGGATGACTACAAGAAAAGGTGTTGCCATGAGGTTTGGGAATGCCCACTAAGAACAGAGCTATGGTTTTGTGCACGCTCAACCTACGTGGGCAGAGCAGAACAACAAAGGACCCAGAAGTGCTGAGGTGCCACTGTGGGACGAGCCAGCGTGATGTGACAACTGTTGCCCGACCCCTCCTCAGCCCCCGTGGCTCAAGAGCAGCCTGGCCTTTCTAGGTGCTGCAACCACGAATATTTCCTGCTCTGAAAAAAAAAACAAAACCAAAAACGAGCGTTTCTCTACCTCCTGCTCCACAGGTCTCCGGAGAGTCTCCGCCACTCTCGCCAGGTCGTTGCTCCTTTTGCTCCTTTCCCTCCGAACGAGCTCGGCCATCTGGGCCAGTTTCAAAGCTACCTGGAAGAAGACGGAGTTGGGGTTTTGATGTTTTTCCGAGTAAATTATAAGGAGTTTTAAGGTGCTGTCCCAACCGCCATGCAAACGGCGGAGGCGGCGGGGGGGGCCCTGCGAGTTGTAGCCCCCCCGCCTCCGCCGTTTGCCTCGGGAGCCAAACGGGAGACGCACACCCCCCGGAGCGCCCCGTGGACGAATCAACCCCGGTGGAACGCGACCACATCGCCCCCCTCACCCCCAGCCCTGAGGGGAGGGAGGCGGGCCCGGCCTACGCCCCCCCACCCCGCCCCGCATCCTCCTCCTCCTCCTCACACGCCCCCCTGCCCCTGAGGACACCCCGCCGCCCAGGGGAGGGTGCGGCCGTGCCGCCGCCCCTCGCTGCGGTGCCGCCCCCCTGTCTCGCCCACCCCCTCCCCGCGCTCACCCCGTTCCCCCGGGCCCCGCCAAGCGCGGCTCCGGCCCCGGCCCCGGCGGCGCCATTGCGCGGGGCCTTCTGGGAGTGACGTCACGCCTCGGTGGTGGCCGCCAGAGCGCCGCGCCCGCGGGGCACGACGGGATGGTGGCGCCGGGAATTGGCGGCCGCCGACGAGGGGGAGCTGCGATGGCGGCGCCGCCGCTGCCGGGGCTGCTCGTTCTTATCCTGCTGCTCCTCTCGGTGACGGCGGCGGGGAGCGGCGCGACGCCCGCCTGGGACCCGGCCGGTTACCTGCTCTACTGCCCCTGCATGGGTGAGGGTCTCCCGCTTCATCCCCGCGGCGCGGTCCCCGAGGTGTCTCCCCTGTGCATCCCCACGGTGCCTCACCCGGTGCATCCCCCCCGGGTTCCTTCCCCGGCGCATCCCGCGCTGCATCCCTCGGTGCGTTCCCTGGTTCATCCCCCGGTGCGATTCCCGGTTCCCATTCCCCGGTTGCATCCCCTGCTCCATCCTCCAGTTGCATCTCCTCGGTGCTCCATCCCCCGCTCCATCCCCGCTCTCGTCCCTCCCGCAGGTCGCTTCGGGAACCAGGCCGAGCACTTTTTGGGAGCCCTGGCCTTCGCCCGCGCCCTCAACCGGACCCTGGCCGTGCCGCCTTGGATCGAGTACCGGCACCACCGCCCGCCCTACACCAACGTGAGCCCCCGGCGGGCGCAGGGAGGGAGCGGGGGGGGCGGAGGGTAGAGCCAGGATCTCTCCCGGGGATAAGGTGTGAGCTCCGGGGCACCAGGGGAGGGACTCCCGGGGATGAGCTGCGGGCTCCGGGGAAGGTTCGGCGGGTCCCCGAGCCCCCGGTTCACGGGCTCTGTTTCCCCCGCAGCTGCATGTCCCCTACTCGGAGCACTTCAGGCTGGAGCCGCTCCAGCGGTACCACCGCGTCCTCAGCCTGGAGCAGTTCATGGAGCACCTGGCCCCCCTGCACTGGCCGCCCGGACGGCGGGTGGCTTATTGCTTCGAGGCGGCGGCGCAGAGGAGCGCGGACAAAAGCACTTGTCCCATGAAGGTGAGTTATTCCTCGGCCCCGCGGGCGAGGCTTGTCTCCGCTGCGGTTCCAAAGGAAAGGACTGACGCATTCAGGTCGCCGTTGATTTGCAAATTTGGGAGTTACCCACCGCAAATGGGTCTTTGTGGCATTCCTTTCACCACTTTTGGAGAGGCATGCTTTTCTTTTCATCCTTCATCCTTTTCTTTGTCTCCCTTGGGGATCGGGAAGATGGTCTGTGCAAGTAGATTTTATCACTTCAGACTTGACTGTGACTGCTCTCTGTTTCCCAGCTGTGGTAGAGTTTTCCAGCCAGTGTTAAAGCAACCTCTCAACTACAAGGCTGTAGTGTCCTTCTTTAAGACAGCCTTTGCAGTAGTTCTCAGGTAATTTTCCTTTCTGTGGCCCTGACCTGTGACAGATAGGCTGTTGTATTCTGGCTGCCTTCCTCCCAGAACAGAAAAACTCCAGCTTTGCACTCCAGGATCTTGCTAGATCTGCCTTGCAGGCTCTGTGAATGCACTGAACAAACACTTGTCTTTCCTTTGCAGGATGGAAACCCGTTCGGTCCATTCTGGGATCAGTTCCAAGTGGATTTTGATAAGTCTGAGCTCTTCAAGGGAATTTCCTTCAGTCCTGCTTACAAGGACCATTGGATCCAAAGGTAGTGGGCATTTAGAGTCACTCATGAAAACAGTCATGACTTTGTATTGTGAATTTACATTTTGGGGGAGAGATTGAAGTGCTTAGTTAACAATGTAATTAAAAACCTTAATGTTTTTTCCATTAAATATTTGCTCAGCTCTTCCTGTGGGCACTATTAGGTGTGATTGCACCAAATCAGATTGATTTCTGAGCCAGTAATATTTAATTACAGTGTTTATTCATTATTATTCATATGTAATTAATCTTCAAAACTAATTTGGCTCTTATTTGCTGATCATCATTTTGCTGGTTACTTTGTGTTGTCAGAGATATGAGCGACTTTAGTAAGTTTGGGTGAAAGAATTGCTCTAGTCTGGGAGGAAAATATGACCTCCCATTGCTTGGTAGCTCCTCACTGAGTCAATGAGGTTCTTAACTTTTTGTCTGTCTGATAAAAAGTCTGAGGTAAAACACAGCAATCCAAATTTCTTCAATGTCAGTGAGTTTTGTCAGATGGCAAAATGGTTAAAATTGATCTAAATTTGGAGCAATAGATGGTGCATATTTTGGGATGTTCCTGGTTTCCATTCTAACCTTCACCTCAGTCTTAATGCAGGACGGAGTGTCCAGGATTATGCCGTGTTTCAGACTGCTGGGGTTTGGTTTTCCACAGGTTTCCACCCTCTGAGCACCCTGTCCTTGCCTTACCTGGAGCTCCAGCCCAGTTCCCTGTCTTGGAGGAGCACCGGCCCCTCCAGAAGTACATGGAGTGGTCTGATGGAATGGTGAAGAAGGGAGAAGCCTATATCCAGTCTCTGCTGGTCCGGCCCTACGTTGGGATTCACCTGAGGATCGGCTCGGACTGGGTACGGCTCCGGCATGGGCTGGTGGCTACTGGGGTGGGGACAAAGCTGACCAGAAAGGAGCTGTGCTGGGACAGCCACCTGATCCCTGCTGGCATTCAGGAGCTTCCTGTGCGTTGGCAGTGCCGTTGGGATTCTTTCAAACAGGCAGAGGTTGGGAACGTGGTGGTATTTTCTCACACTTGCCACTTAAACGTGGTACTTTGAACCTGAAAGGAGGTTGTTGTGAGATGGGGTTCAGCCTCTTCTCTCAGTGACAGGAAAAGGGAAAGTAGCCTCAAGTTGCACCAGAGGAGGTTCAGGTTGGATATCAGGGGAAAATTCTTCACTGAAAGAGTAGTTAAGCACTGGCACAGGCTGCCCAGGGCACTGATGGAGTCGCCATCCCTGGAAGTGCCCAAAAAACCAAGAAGACGTGGCACTTTGCAATATGGTTTAGTGGGCGTGGGGGTATTTCATTCAAAGTTTGGACTTGATGATCTTGGAGGCCTCCTCCAACCTTAATAATTCTATGATTCTCTTTTCCTCTTCCAATAGAAAAACGCCTGCAACATGTTGAAGGACGGGACGGCCGGGCCTCACTTCATGGCTTCACCCCAGTGTGTGGGCTACGACCGGAGTGCTGCGGTGCCTCTCACCATGGACATGTGCCTGCCAGACCTCAGGGAGATCAAGCGTGCTCTCAAGGTCTGGGTGACAAAGATTGAAGCTAAATCCATTTATATCGCTACTGATTCCGAGCCCTACACAACGGAAATACAGCAGTTCTTCCAAGGAAAGGTGAGTCTTCCAGAAACCCATGCTGGCAGGAGTGCTTTGGCAAAAATCTCCCTCGGATTCTGGCCCGTGGCTGCTGGCTGTGTGTATTAGGTTATGCACAGCCAAACATTGCCATCTCAAAGTGAATTTGACTCATAGCAATAAAAATTATCATGGAAAACTCTTTGTTTCCCGGAGGTTGAAGAGCATTATCTGGCATGGTAGTAAATATCTCCTTGAAAAGGGCTTAAATTAAATAAACCTAAGTGATTTTCAAAACTGTTCTGACACTGATCTAATCATAAATGAGTTATAGGGCAGTGTAAGACAAACCCCCCTCTTTCTGTTGTGTATTCCCATTTCTAATACAATCTATTACGCCAAGACATTGGATTGTAACAATAGCTGACTGGAGTCATTTGCTTCCCTTGTTTCTCTGCAGCTCAAGGTTGTCAGCTTGCAGCCAGAAGTGCCTCAGGTTGATCTGTACATCCTTGGCCAGTCTGATCACTTCATCGGGAACTGCGTCTCTTCCTTCACCGCCTTTGTGAAAAGAGAACGTGACATCCACGGGAAACCCTCCTCGTTTTTTGGCATGGACCACCCCCCCAGGTTACGGGATGAGTTCTGAGCAAAGGAGGAACAGGCTCTGTGGTTCTCAGGGCTGTGAGCTCAGCCCTTGGTGCTGCAGGTTCCCCCGTGTGCAGTCACTGCCGGGCTGCCCACACCTGCTCCTGCCCTCTGACGCTCCTCACGGTCATTTCTAGACTGTTCTCTCTGACATCTCCTGTATTTCCAACGTGAGGTCAGATAGAAGTTTTAAATCCTATAGTTTATAGGGAACTATAAACTACATATAGTTTTTTAAGATGTAGTTTTTTATAGCTCTCCATTCTCACTCTTGGGGGTTCACCAGCGATCATGATGAAGCAGCTGCTCAGATTTCCTCTTCTTTTTTTTAATGTTAATTCTTAACTCTTACCCAGAGATGTTTTGAAGCTTCTTGCTCAAAGCTGACCATAATTGGTTCTTTTAATTGCAAAAGTATTGTCAGGCATATCAGGATCCCTGGAAAGGGTGTGCAAGGTGAAGCTCAGAGCTGAAAAAGCTCTGAGTTTATTGAGGGCAGCTGTTGCCTTACCAGATGCCTGTCGCTTTAGTGCCTCAGTGTCCCTTTCCCTGTCCAAAGAGATTCCATTCCCAGTGCTGGGGGGCCCTGGATCCCTTCAGCAGTGCTGGAGGAGCAGAGTGGGGCACAGTGGCAGCTGCCTCTTCAGCCTCTACGTCGACATGGGGGAAGGCACATGCAGGGACACAGGAGATCTGTCACAGCCAGGCCAGAGGTGGAGATTTAGGGCTTGTAGCTTTGTAGCTGTTGATGTCGGTGAGGTCTGTGGGAGGAGCGAAACTTTGAGCCAGGATTATTAAAGTAGCTGTAGTGGGGTTGGGTACGTCGTGCTTGGGTCTATGGTAGTGGTTTCTGTTTGGTTTTGTACTTTATAAAATAACCCCTCTGAGAGCATCACCCTTGTCTGGGGGGCAGTTCCCAGGGGAGATAACTCCAGAAAGTTACTGTTCGTTGATGGGGAAGCAGCAGCCCAGACCTCTCCGTTTGGCCCAGTACAGTTTGGTGCTGGTAACACTGACAATCCCAACATGGTGAGACTCAACTTGACCAATGCCTTTTGGTGCTTCTGTGACTTCATTTTTTTGGTCCAAAGACTGAATACAGAACTGTTCCTTTTTTAAAAATGCCACTTGTGTGAGTCTGTGGTACTAGAGCTGCTGTCTCTAGTGCCCTGCTGTGGTCCAGACAGTGCTGTTATGGGGGTTTAACTCTACATATCTTTTTTTATGGTGGTCTTTTCCTCCTTGGAGTCACTCTTGAGCATTAAGGAGTTTGAAGGCTGAAGGAAGGGAGCAAAAAAGGGCTAATTGAGACGATCCCCCAGGTGTCAGGGTGGCAAAGGCTCATCTCTTATTTCCTCAGGGCTGGGTTCAAAAATCATGGGATTTGGGGGAAAATCATTGGTTTTGGGGCCTCTGGGAGCCGGGCTTCTGGAGACCTTGCTCCTCCTTGGTGTTTCGTACAGTTTACTGATCTTGAGTGGTGCCCTCAGGGCTGCCATGCCTTGCTTCGGAGCAAGGGGAGCCTTGCCCTGCACTGTTGGGAAGACGAAGTATTAAAACGTTAGGGGTGGGGTATTTTTAGAAAATAATTAAAAAAGAAAAAAAAAGGTATTTTTTTGTACTAATAAAAATTTGATTTTCTATTCACTGATAGTGCCCCGACATTCCTTCCTCCATCACGGGAGTCTGTGGTACCAGGGCTGTGGTGGCAGTGCACTGGAGGCACTGCTGCGGTCCAGACAGCGCTGTTACGAGGAGGGCGGGGAGGCTTCACTCTAAATGCCTTCTATTTACGGTGGTCTTTTCCTCCTCGGAAACATCCCTGAGCTCTGAAGGAGTTCGGAGGCTCCTGGGGGACGCGCCGGGTCGGGGGCAAGCCCCGGCACTTTGGGGGTTGTTGGAATTGCCGGCGGCGCGGGGAGGAGGGGGGTCAGCGGCCCCTTTGTCCCGGTTCCCGGCGGGAGCGGGGCGGGCGCGGCCGTTGCCAGGGAAGCGCGTCACGGGCGGGCGGGGCGGCCGCGCCGCTTCCGGGCCCGCGGCCGGGCGGCTCCATGGTGACGGCGCAGGTGAGTCCGGCCCGGCCCCGCGCCGCGCCCCGAGCGCCCGCCACCCCCGGCCCGGCCCGCGGGGGCACAACCCGGGCCCTTTGGGCCGCCCCCGCTGCCGCGGCCCGGGCAGCGAGCGAGAGAGGCGGCGGGACTCGCCCGCGGCCGGGCTGCGGTGGCGATGCCGCGGGCGGGTGGCCGCGTTCGGGTGGGTGCCCCCCGCGCTGGCGGTGCTTCCCTCCCGCGGTTCTTTTCCTCCCTGCGCGCTGTCCCCGTCCCCCGAGCGCCCTCGGGTCCCCTTTTCCCTGCAGCGCCCTGTGTCGCAGCCGCCAGGGCGGCGGGTGATGCTCGGGTGGATCCGCCACGGTCCCGGCTCCCCGGGGGAGGGGACACCCGTGGGGTGACAGCGGTGACAGAGGTGACCAGAGGTGACCACAGGTGCTGGGTGTAACCGGGCCACACCGCGGCAATACCGGGGTCCTGCCCGTGGCAGTCCCGCCCGGCCTGCGGAGGGTTCGTTGGGGAGGCGAGAGGAGAAGCAGCAGCACAAGGGAGGGTTTGGGTTTGGAGGGTCCATAACCAGGGCGTTGTGAACCCACAAGTATTTGAAAGATTTAAACGGTGAGGAGCAATGGGATGTTTCGAGTGGTATATCTGGGGATGTGCGGAGATGCAAGGGAAGGGTTTGGGCAGCTCCAGAGAAATCTTTCTGGGATGTTTAAGCTCAAGGTAGGAAGTGGAGAGAAGTCAGGACCTGTCAAGGCAGGTGGCTGGGGACAGTGTGCCTGGGGCACAGCCAGCCAAGCCAGCACCTCCCAGTGCTGGAAGTTTCTGAGGAGAAGTGGCTACCCCAGCTTGCATTCAGGTTGTGATGTTGCTTTTTTTTTTTTTCATGCACAAGCTTGTGTTTACTGAAATAAAAATGCTTCAATTTCTGCCCACCCTCCCCTCTTGGGCACCTGGGGCACATCTTCAAGTGCATCCACCTCAAGCTTGACCTTGACACAGGGACCTGGCCCAGGTCACTTTAGGCTGAACTAATTTAATGAAGGAATTCCCCTCTTTGATGGAGAAGAGTGGATGGCACGGCAGCATTCCCAGCTTTCTGGCCATTGCTGTCCAGCTCAAACATTGCCCTGGAGTTTCTGGGGAGTAGGAACACTGCCAACTAATTGGTTTTACTGTCCAGTTACACACTTGGGTAAGTCTGAGAAGAACCATAATTTGTTATGCTTCCAGTAAACTTCACTGCGGTAGCTAAAATAATTGGAGATGATTCGTGATAGGTTGTTATGAAAATAACCCAAATCAGGGGTGAAATCAGTTGTTTGTGACTATAAAAAGAGACTTGCAAGTGAAATGTGGAAAGGTGTTAAAAGCTGCTCAAGCTCATGTTAAGGAGATACACCGAGAAGAGCAGCAAATGTGCAACGTAATTTTTGTTCAATGTATACCTCTGGCAAGACTAACTTCATTCTCATCATGTAATATTTATCACAGTTGCTTACAAAAGTGGCACTTCTCATCAGAATAGTATTTTGGATGTTCAATATATAAAATAAATCTGTGTTCTGCTTTTCAGAACTGGTGCCTAATTTGAGTATTTACCAGTGTGAACGTGCAGATACGTCACACAGTGGTTGTCATGTGACCTTGTCCAAAAAAAAATTGTGTCTTGTGAACTTGAATTACAGGAATATCCTTGGTAGCTGTGGCAGGAGAAGTGCTTGTTGATGTATGCAAATCCTCAGGATGAGAGGAGGGAGAGTTGCTTTTTGTGATTCTGCCAAGATTTGTCCTCGTTTAACATATTTTTTCTGTGCTGGTGCTCTAGAATTCGTGTTTGCTGTGGGTGGGAGAGGAAGGTCACCTTTATCTGGAGCTGTCACTTAGGAGGGAAATGGTTTTATTCAGTAGCTACCCAAGATTCCTGCAGCAGTGTGAATTCACTGTGCAGGGTGTAAAGTGAATTCTGGATGAGTGTTCAGTTTGGTCAATTCGATGCATATTCCTCATCTCCCTGTCAGCTACTGTGTGCTTCTCTGGGAAGAGCAAGGAGCAAGGAGTTTCCTCCCACAAACTGAAGGAAATTCCCAAGGCTGTACTGAGGTTTATTAAACATGGTTTTAATCATGTTTATTTGTTATTCCTGTGTTACTCTTTCCGAGATTGGATATTGGGCGAGAATCATTGTGGTTCTTTTCTCATCCTCTGGTTCTGAAGTTCTCTGTCACTTTGTTTGAGGAGCTCTCCTGAGATGTGCAATTATCAAGTAAAAAAACAGTTGGACAAAATCCATGTTTCCTGGAGATCCAGATGGGAAGGGAGCAGCGAGCACATCCCAGGGAGGCCACACCTGAACGTGTGCCAGCTCTACCTGGGGTTCCCAGTGTGTGTTGGTTTTACACTTAGTTCCAGTTGACAGAAGGACCTCAGAGCTCTTCTTGAAAGACGTTTTGGAAATAAAAAGGCTTATTAGAAACCACACGGCATTCCCCAAGCTGTGCCATTGAGATCTGCCTTCTGAGGCTTTAGCAGGGACTGCTTTAGCAGGAACACAGGCTTTTTGTTCCATTTTCAAAGGCTGGTGACTGGGGGATGCACCAAGTGTGTCCTTTCTCTCTACCCAGAGTCATGATCTTTGAACTGGGTTTATGCAACGTAAATTTAGGTTGATGCTGAATCCTGTAAACCTCCTGAGCAGGAGCGTGGAGTGATGTCATAGGTCAGTGTGCTTGGGCAGGGCTGGCTTTTGTGGAGAATCCTGGCAGAAGTATAATGCCAAAAGAAAAAATAATAGGGGAATTGTGTGCCAGAGAGAGCAAGGCTGTACTAGATTTTCAAAACAGGAGATTTGAAACAAAAGGCTCGACTGCAAAGAAAATAAATGGCAAAGTATTCTCTTTATAAATAGTTTAAATAGCATTATGATTATTTTTAAGGGTCAAGAAAGAGATCTTTACCAGCTGTAAAAATGTGATTTGATGGCGATTTTTTTGCAGCAGAGCTTGTAAAAGTGATACCATTTGATGCACAAGCTTTGGTAAAATAATAGTGTTTCAGTTCAGGCCTTTACAGAGTTTTCATGGTGTCCATTATTTTAATTCTCCAAAATCCCTTGCAACTTAATGAATGCAAAATGCTGCTCGAGTAGATGAGTCGAGTCTTCGGCTTTGTGCAGAAAACTGCCTCCAGACATTCCTGCTTTGTTTTTGTTTCAGGTTTCCAGCACGGGATCATCCACCCATCGGATCACACCAGCCACAGACCCGCCGTCATGTCCAAGCCAAAGAGCTCCGAGTCCGTGCGGGTGGTGGTGCGCTGCCGGCCCATGAACAGCAAGGAGAAAACTGCTTCCTACGAGAAAGTTGTTAATGTGGATGTCAAGTTAGGGCAGGTCTCAGTGAAGAATCCGCGGGGAGCATCTCATGAACTGCCTAAAACTTTCACCTTTGATGCCGTGTATGACTGGAATTCCAAACAGGTCGAACTCTACGATGAGACCTTCAGACCTCTTGTGGACTCTGTTCTGCAAGGGTTTAATGGGACAATTTTTGCCTATGGGCAGACTGGGACAGGGAAGACATATACGATGGAAGGGGTGCGTGGTGATCCCGAAAAGAGAGGGGTCATCCCCAATTCATTCGATCACATCTTCACCCACATCTCTAGATCTCAAAATCAGCAATACTTAGTTAGAGCGTCTTATTTGGAAATATACCAAGAAGAAATCAGAGACTTGTTATCAAAGGATCAGTCCAAGCGGCTGGAGTTGAAGGAGAGACCAGACACAGGGGTGTTTGTGAAGGATTTGACCACCGTTGTTACGAAAAGCGTCAAAGAGATCGAGCACATCATGAATTTGGGAAACCAGAACCGCTCCGTTGGTGCCACCAACATGAACGAACACAGCTCTCGATCTCATGCCATTTTCCAGATCACCATTGAATGCAGCGAGCTGGGACTGGACGGAGAGAATCACATCCGTGTCGGGAAGCTCAACCTGGTCGACCTCGCAGGCAGCGAGCGGCAAGCCAAGACTGGGGCACAGGGGGAGAGGTTAAAGGAAGCTACTAAAATCAACCTCTCTCTCTCAGCTTTGGGCAACGTCATCTCTGCCCTGGTAGATGGGAAAAGCACACACATTCCGTACCGGGACTCCAAGCTGACCAGGTTACTCCAGGACTCGTTAGGTGGCAATGCCAAAACTGTGATGGTGGCCAATATAGGCCCTGCCTCCTACAACGTGGAGGAGACACTGACCACACTGAGATATGCCAACCGTGCCAAAAACATCAAGAACAAGCCACAGGTCAATGAGGATCCTAAGGAGGCTCTGCTACGAGAATTCCAGGAGGAGATTGCTCGACTCAAGGCACAGCTGGAAAAACGGTCTATTGGCAAAAGAAAGAGGAGGGAAAGGAGGAGAGATGGTGGGGAAGAGGAGGAGGACACTGAAGAGGGTGAGGATGAAGGAGATGACAAAGATGACTACTGGAGGGAGCAACAAGAAAAGCTGGAGATTGAGAAGAAAGCTATAGTTGAGGATCACAGCTTGGTAGCAGAAGAAAAAATGAGGCTGCTGAAAGAGAAGGAGAAGAAAATGGAGGACCTGAAGCGAGAGAAGGAAGCGACAGAAATGCTGAGTGCTAAAATCAAGGTAGAATTCTTCCTTGTGATGCTCTTTGAAAGCAATTTCTCTAGGGCTCTGGGGAGAATGGAGGGTTTCCCAATTTGGAAATATATTTCACAAAAAGTTTCTGGGATAGTGATTTTATGTTTAGATTGGAAGATTTTAAAATAAGCTATTTCTAGCCAGAAGTTGAAATTTCCACCATTAATTTCATGTTTTAATATTCACGAGTTGTTTCATTGTTCTTATGTCTTAAGAAACTGGCACAACAGAATGTGACAATGCATCTTTTTACAAGCTGTGGCACAAAACATGCCTCATTCTGTCACAGATCATTAAAAAGTTCTTTACAGGGAAATACACCTTTTGGTTCTCCAGCTTTGCCACACGTTGCAGCAGTGCCTAATTCTAAGCAAGTTACTGTTTCGTTAATCTCACAGTTTTATAGGAATTTTATATATATAGCAATTCTTGTAGCAGCTGCCTTGAAAGAGAAGGTTAAATAAGGGAGCTGCCCTGAAGAAGTTGTATCCATAGAAGAGAAAGTTACATTCTGTGGTCACTGAGAGAAACTTCTGACCTTGGTTTTTCCTTTCAGACAATGGAAAGCAAGCTCCTGGTGGGAGGGAAAAATATTGTGGATCACACAAATGAACAGCAGAAAATCCTGGAACAGAAACGACAGGAAATTGCAGAGCAGGTACAAGGAAGGAGATTTGTTATTTTGTATAAAAATCCTTGCTGTGGAACCTTTATAAAACATTGTATCAGGGGAAGCTATCAGAAAATTTTCCCAGGGTTAACCCTAAAATTGGTTTAATAGCAATCATTTCTCTGAAAAGAAGGGGGAAGGGCTTGTGTCCTATTTGTCATTGTTTGAAATATGTAGAGAAGGTTTATGATCATTTTCTTCTAGCTCTTCATGTTAAAGACTTATGTCCTATCTTGACTGGAGCTGTCTGTAGGGGAAGAAATAATTGTAAGACCTCCAACAATTCCAGTTCAGCCATCAGCTCAAAGGAGGGATGTTTACTCTGGGCTAAAAAGTTTATTTTCTATAAACTATTTTCTATTTTTTATGCAGTTTCTGTTGGTGATTTTTAAATGCAACGACTAGTATGAATTGATAAAAAGAACATTAAAAAAACACCAGAATCTAAAGATGACATTCCTTTAATTGAAGCCTGAGCACTTATTCACGCTATCTGACTTAAGTAGCAAAATAAGGACAAAGAAGAGTTGTTAATGCTTCTGGTATTTCTAAGGCAAGAGATAGGAAGAACTGGAAGCCAAAGGAAAAGCCCTGGAAGGCAGGGCAGTAAACCCATCCTGAGTGTTGGTTTCATGTGTGTCAGCTGGAGGTGACAAGGTGATTGTGGTCTTTAATTCCCTGTGTCACGTTCTTCAGAAACGTCGGGAGCGAGAAATCCAGCAACAGATGGAAAGTCGGGATGAGGAAACACTAGAGCTGAAGGAGACCTATAGTTCCCTTCAGCAAGAGGTGGACATAAAGACCAAAAAACTCAAAAAGGTAAGAAAAAAATAATAAATTATTCCTTGTCTAGAGGGCTGGGAACAAAATCAACTCATGTGTGAAAGTGAGAGCAACATTGGCAAGTGATAAATTTTGGCCCTTGTTGTCTGTTCCAGTTATTTTCCAAGCTGCAAGCTGTGAAGGCAGAGATCCATGATCTCCAAGAAGAGCACATCAAGGAGCGCCAGGAACTGGAACAGACCCAGAATGAACTTACCAGGGAACTAAAGCTAAAGTAAGTCCCCTCAGTGTATTAACTGTAACAAAGAGGGCTTCCCTGGGTAGGGAGTAGAGGTGCTGCCTTGCACATACTTGTGGAACAAGATTTAAACATAAGGGAACTAAACCATTCCTCCTTTTCCAGGGCTGTATTACATCATCAGGAGAGGAGCAGTGAGGAAAGTCATCTGCTAATTATGTTTCTTGTGTATTTCTCATTTTTGTGGTTGCACGTAGGCACCTGATTATTGAAAATTTTATTCCCTTGGAAGAAAAGAATAAGATCATGAACAGATCATTCTTTGATGAAGAGGAAGATCACTGGAAACTGCATCCCATAACCCGTCTGGAGTGAGTGTACTTCTGCTCTTTTCTTGGAATGGAATTACAGGTGACAGGAAACCCTCCAGCTGTGTCAAGAACAAGGGATTGAATTTGGGATTTAAAGTGGCCCTCTAGAGTTCACAGGTTCTTGCTGCACAATGAAATAAAACAATTTATTCCTCTTAGTAGGTTCAGTAAAATAGAAATGTACAGTTAGGAAAATTCTTGGAAGATTGGGATTTTTCTTCCATGTGAGCCCAAGAATCATATGTAAAATATATATAACAGTGCATTCACCATTAAAATAGCAGTACATTCCTACCATATTTCTTTCCTGCTCCTGCAAATGCAGCCTGGGTAGTTTCTGCTCTCTTGAAACAGATTTCTGGGTGGAATTTGGAGATGTTGCAGCTCATAAACTTCAAGAGGGGCCTTTGGTTTTGGGGTATAACAGACTGAGTCTCTATTTTTCTCTAGTAACCAGCAGATGATGAAAAGACCAGTATCTGCTGTGGGATACAAAAGGCCCCTGAGCCAACACGCCAGGACATCCATGATGATTCATCCAGAGGCTCGGTACAGGGTAAGCCCCCTTTTTGTCTTTACCCTCCTGATCAGGTGAATCCCAGAGGATTGCGTGTTCTTCTGTGAGATGTAAAATGTCCTGCATACATTTATAACGCACTTCAGAATGAGTTTCTGGAGGGAAAAGTTACAATTTGTATGAAAACACGGAGACTTTGATTCTGCTTTTCCTGTCTCAGGCAGAGAACATCGTGTTACTGGAACTGGACGGGCCCAGCCGAACGACGAGGGACTACGAAGGTCCAGCCATCGCTCCCAAAGTTCAGGCAGCTCTAGAAGCAGCTCTGCAGGATGAAGATGAGATTCAGGTGGATGCCTCGACCTTTGAGAGCACTTCAAATAAAAAATCAAAACCCAGGTGAGTCAGGCCTCCGGTGAGCAGACTGGCCCACGGGGAGAGGTGCGAGTACAGCCGCTGTTTGTCAGGGCTTCTTGTCAGTGAAGTGAAGCCAAGCTTGGCTGCAAAGCAAAGAGAGAGAGAGAAAAAAAGGAACATAGAATCATCAAGATTGGAAAAGACTTTCAAGATTCAAGTCCAGCCTTGGACCAAATCCCACCCTGCCCACTAAGCTGTATTACAAGCTGCCACATCTACTTGTATTTTGAACATTTTCCAGGGATGGTGGCTCCACCACTGCCCTGAGCGACCTGTTCCAATGCTTAACCACTCTTTTAGCGAAGAAATTTTTCCTAATATCCAAACTGAACCTCCTCTGGTACAAATTGAGGCAGTTTCCCCTTGTCCTATCACTTGTTACTCTGGAAAAGAGGCCAATCCCCACCCTGCCACAACCTCCTTTCCGGGAGCTGTGTAGGACATGGGACAGAAGAGAAAGCTAAAACTGATTAGAGAATAAATCCAGTAAAAGAATTGGCTTTTTGAAGATTAATTTTGGAAAGTAACAGGTGACGTTGTTAGAGCTCTTTTTGTTTATGTTTTCATTTTCACTTCTTTAGGCCGAAAACTGGAAGGAAATCGTCGGGATCCTCGTCAGCAGGCTCCCACAGTTCTCAGCTCTACCCACAGTCACGAGGGCTGGTTCCAAAGTAAAACCAGCAGCTCCTCTCCAGGGAGGAAACAGCCTTTGCCTTCTGGGAGCAGAGACAAATAAAAACCTGCAGAGAGAGCTCCCGGCCAGCCTCCAGCCCCTTTCCCTGGAGATGGCCTTGTTGCTGTTTAACTGACTCGGGCCAGTCCAGGGGCACTGAGCCACGGGAAGATCCGTGCTTGCAATTCAGCATTTGGCCTCTGTGGGAAATGGATTTTAGTTAGGAAATCAAAAATGCATGAGGTACGTTAAAGTGTGTTAGGAGCAATGGGAAGCATGGGGATCACCTCACAGCATCACCGTCCTCCTCCTGCACCAGCCCTTCTGCTGCACTGGGCTTTTTGGCTGTTGGGCAATAAGAAGACAGAGTTGAAAGTCATCTCAACAGAACCATCATTCCAGAGCTCCACAGTGAGAACCAAATGAGGCTAAAAAGCAGAGGATCTGTTTGAACTTGACAAGGTGCACATTTCTTCCTCTTCCTGCTTGAGAGATCTGGGGTTAAGGTGTTGGTCTGAACAGGCAGGATGGCAGTGGCCAGTGTGTCCTCAAAAACACACAGCTGTGCCTCCCTTTACAGCTGTAGGACAAAAAGGGGTCTTGAAAACAATTCTGTGCTCTCTAGAAAGGAAGCAGTAGAATCTGAAGTCCTTTCCTTGTTTACAGGCATAAGTAAGAGCTCCCCTGTGCTGACCTCCTACAGACCTCACCCCTACCAACAGGAACCACCTTGTCAAGGAACACCTCTGCATGCCAGTGCCAGCTCCACAGCTTTCCTCCTCTCTTTTGCCTCCTACTTTACCCCTGGCATTTAAAACCAGTGTCCCTATGACATCTTTAATGGCATATGGCCATTTTCTCATGTCTCTCACTGTTCATGGGAAATGCAGCATTGGCTCAGAGCTCTTCCTGCCAGGCTCAGGCTCTCCTGTAAGCTGGGCAGAGCACTGGAACATGTAGCTGCCTTTGAGTGCACTCCTGGGAGTATGGTCCCTTCCCTTGGTGTCTAATGAGGTTCAGCATTTGGTGCCTCTTGTGCCTCACCTGTTCCAGGGTTGAGCAGCTTTCCCTCTGCACCTCCCAGCCCATGCAGAGCCCACTGGGAGTGAAAGCAGATCTAACTGAGGCTGGATGATGGAAGCTGGTGTTAATTCCAGGGGTTTTACTTTGAAAACAAGGGAGGAAGAACTGCTTTTGATGGTCTCCTTGCAAAGCTGCCCTATGACTAAAGCAGCCTCCTGTAATGCCGCAGGCTCGTGTAGCAGGCTAGAGGGAGGTGGAACTCCACACTAAGGACAGAGTAAGGTGTCCCTGTCTAGTGTCCCACAGCTCATTTGTAAGTTTTAGTTCGCTGTATATTGAGACTTGGGATGTTACTTTTTCTGGTTGCTCTTGGCTGTCATCCTGTGAACGTCTTTACCTGTTCCCCTCACTGACGACTTCCTCCAGACTGACACGTGTGAGTGTGTGAGGACTTGCCTGGTTGTAGAAATGCTCTGATGTGTGGACTCTGCCTTGTGCTTGTTAAGTGTCCATGGAGTGACTTCACCCAGGCTGGAGAACTCCGTTCTGCTGACCCCCTGAGCAGGAGGAACCGAGCGCTCAGCACAGCTCACCTCTGCATCCTGCAGGCACGGTGCCCAGGTGAGCCAGCTGCCCAGGTGGGCCCCTAAACACCAACTTGGCTGCTGCAACCCATGGACTGCTTCCCTGGGCCACAAGGTTAATATATGGATACACATATATGCACATATAAATATATATATATATATTAGTTTTGGTGGAGGAAGGAGGAATTTGCTTATAATTGAGAGAGCAGGCACATGACCAATTTCTTTCAACCTGAACATGGAATCCCGGCATAATCTTCCTTTTTATAAAGCACTGTTTATATCCAGAGAGCCTTTTAATTGGTTTTTGTTGCATAATATAACATCACCTTCTCTGCCCTCTCCTCCCTCTTTCTCCCCAGCACATAATCTTCTGTGCTGGGACATTTTAAAAGATGATTGTATGGAGTAAGTGCTCAGAGAATGGAAATGAAACAAGTGGGGTTTAAAACCCTGAAATAGCAGCACAGTATATAACCACGTCTATGTACATACCTGTGTACACATGTTTTATGTGAATAATGCATACAGGGACACCTCTGTGTCTGCACATGTGCACACTCTTCCTCAGTTGCTACTATTCCATAGGGAATTCTATATTAAACTCATATGCTGGAAACTGCCCTCGTGGCAGGGCTGGTGCCATGGGACTCTGCAGTGCAAACCTGTTTTCATGTTGATGAGCTGGTGATGTGTCAGAAAGGCTCTGCTTTTAACTCTGTAGAAATTCATTAGCAGGTGAAAGAAACTCAGTAGGGTGGAAAAAAGAATAAATCTGCATATTTAGTCATTGTATGTAAATTGGGGCTGCGGTGGAGATTTGGTCAGTGTGTTCATTGGCAATCTCGGCCTTTTACAGAAGCTTTTTGGATTCTCATTCCAATGGATTTACCCTCACCAGATGCTCAGTGGCACTGACACTAAGTTAAGATACATTGTCTTAAACTGTACGAAACATACTGAGCTCTGGGTTGAAGCTTTTAAGAAACATTCCGGCCGAGTTTGCCCCTCTCCGGGTGATATCTGAACCATCTGGGCTTCCTGCTGGTTAACTAAAGGCAGGAAATCCAGCCAGACTCCTGGAAGAGGCCCTGAGACAGTGTGCACCGCCACCCTTTCTTCATAGGAATGTTTAACATCCTTGTCTTTGCTCTGATCTGTATAATGGGATCTTTTTTTTTAAGAAGTGGCATGGGGCAGGAGTGGGCCCTTGGTGCTGGAGCGAGCGCCGTGTGACACTGACGCATAGGAATTAAAGCACTTTCTGAAATCCTTAAGTCCAGCGCCTTTTTAAAAACATTTGCATGCTGCTTGAATCTTCTCAAACACACATACCTCTGCCAGAGCACCCGGGGCTGCGCCGGTGCCTTATACAGATCAGAGCAGGCCTGTGTTCAGCCAGTTTTAGGTGTTTAACTCTGCCCTCGCTGAACAGGCAGCGCTGGAGTTCCAGTGAGACGCCTCTGGACCTGTCCTCTCTCCTGTCTGTGCTGGTTTACGTGCACCAGGCTTTAAACAGTTCAGTGTGATTCCTGGGGGGGTCTGTTCGTGCTGTGTTTGCTCCACGGAGCCTTTTCCACAAATTGGAAAAGAGAAGCTGCAAAAGCCATAATTAGCTGGAACTGAAATGAGAACACCGGTCCTGCCTGCTGCAGTGTGCAGGAGGGGGTTGACTCTCCAGGGTCCAGGCACTTACTGCCTTCTCCAGCTCCCTTTCTTTTTGAAGAGGTGCCCCAGAATCCCCTCCGTGGGCACAGCTGTCCATGAGAACTCTCAGCTCCTTGGAGATACACCCACCTCCGCCTTCTCTTAGGTGATCTATAGAAAAAAAAGAACCTGTCCATAGTTCTGTCCATAGTTTTACAGCTTATATTTATTTGTATCATCTCTTTTGTCTAGGAATGTAAAGTGATCCTAAAATATGACATGTAATAAAGTCAATAAGATTTATTGCATCTATCAAAACGTGTGGTTTTCATTGTTAATTTGGGGCAGGGCTCAGCAACTCCATGTTTTACAAAGCCTTGTGTTGTTTTTCCCTTTAAAAAAAAAAGTCTCTGGGTAAACTAAGTGGTTAAATGTGAGCAGAACTGCAGTGAGTTTTGTAATGTGTGTGTGTGTGTGTGTGTGTATATATATACATATATATATATGTAAATATGAGTAGAAAATGCTAGAAGGTCCAGAAGGGTCTGGAGCCCAAGTCTGATGAGGACCAGCTGAGGGAGCTGGGGGTGTTTTGCCTGTGGAAAAGGAGGTTAAGGGGTGGCCTTATCACTCTACAACTCCTGACAGGAGGGTGTATCCACGTGGGAGTCGGGCTCTGCTCCCAGGTGACCAGCGACAGGAGGAGAACAGTCTTAAACTGTGCCAGGGGAGGTTTAGGTTGGACATCAGGAAGAATTTCTTCACAGGAAGGGTGCTCAGGCATAGGAATGGGCTGCCCAGGGCGGTAGTGGAGTCACCGTCCCTGACGGTGTGCGAGGACAGAGTGGACGTGGCACTCGGTGCCACGGTCTGTGGTTCATGTGGTGGCGTTCGGTCACAGCTTGGACCCGATGACCTCGGGTCCTTCCCAACCTAAATCATTCTGATCCTGTGATAACCCCGATGCCAGAACGCGAACACTCGCGGCTCTCACCCGGGGGGCTATCGCAGGGTCTCGGCCCCGGCCCCCCTCCCCAACACGGTCCCACCGCCGCCCCCGGCCCGGGCGGTGCCGCCCCCCCACCGCGGCCATGCGGCGGCAGCGGCCTCTCCCGCCATGCCGCGCGGCGCCCGCCGGGACTTGCAGTCCGCGGGCCGCCTCGCTCTCACGGCGGGCCCGCCCAGTTGGACTACAACTCCCGGCGGCCCTTGCGGTTTGTTTTCCTTCAAATCATCCCCGGCACCGCCCCCCTGGTCCCCGCCCCTCCGCTCCCGCCGTGTCCCGCCGCGGCCACCGTCGCCGGGCCCCGCCGCCCCGCCCCGCTCCCGGCCCTTTGACCCCGTTGTTATGCCGGGCCTGAGCCGCCGCCGCCGCCGCCGCCGCCTCCCGTAGCGCCCGGAGCCGCCCCCGCCTCGCGCCCCGCCCGCCGCGCCCGCCGCGCCCGCCCTGCCCCGCCCCGGCCCGGCCCGGCCCGGCCGCCGCCCGCCCGCCCGCCCGCCTGCGCGCCCAACGGTCCGCGCCCGCCGCGCCCGCCCGCGCGGGAGGAGGAGGAGGAGGAGGAGGATGAAGGAGATGAAGCAGAGGAGGAAGAAGGAGCGCACGTGGGCCGAGGCCGCCCGCCTGGTGAGGCCCGGGGTGGGGGCGCTCCGAGGAAGGGGCGCGGGTGCTCGGCTGGGCCCCGGGGCCTCCCCGCCGCGCCCAGCCCCTCCCCGAGTAACGGGGCCGGCGGCGCCGCCATCGCGGCCGTGGGGCCGAGCCGGGGGCCGGGGCCGCCCAGGGGGTTGCGGACGGTGCTGCCCGTGCCCGGCCCGGACCCGGGGCCGCCGGGGCCGGGGGTCTCCTTCCCGCTTGTTTCCCTTCCCCGGCCCGATGGGAAGGGGATGCGCCCCCGGCGCGGTGCGAGCGCGGCCCCCGGCCCGCCGGGCGGGCTCCGGAACGAGCTGCCCGCCCTCCGCCGGGGGTCCCTGCGGCCTCCGCCGCCTCCCGCCGGTCCCGGCTCCCGGGATGGGCTCGGGAGGTGCCGTCCCGCAGCGGGTCGGTGTGTGCTGGGGTTGTGGGGACGGGTTGGTCCATTCTCCTCCTTTCGGATGGTTTAAGGCTCCGTGGAGCGAACCTGAGCCTCTGGAGAGAGCCCGGCCTGGAGCCCGGGCACAGCTGCTGTCAAAAGTTTCTGGTTTAATTAGCGGGGGTGTGGGTTCCCTCCCTGTGCTGGGCTGCCCCGGAGAAGCAGCTGTACGGAACATCCCTGAATCAGCCCGTATTTGGTCACTTTTGGGGGTTGGGAGACATGGCCACGGGTACATCTTAGTCCTTTTGTCTTAGGGAATCTCCTTGTTGAGGTCTTCCAAGTTCCAAGCCCTGCCCTGCTCCAGTGGTGTTTGTGGGAATGCTGCTGTTGTTGGACTTCCCTCTGTGAAGTGTTTGACTCAGATCTGTCTTGGACCCCAGTTGTGAACTAGGAAATGTAACAAGAAAAATAACTTCAGTTCATCAATCAGGTGCTGGTCAGAGGTTTGATTTAAGGGCTGCATGTGGAGGTGTTTAGGCTGATTGCTTGGCAGTTGGGTGGTCAGAGCTGGCTGGAGAGAGGTGTTTCTCTCCTGGTGACACAGTGACACAGATCTTTGCGGGTGCAGGAGTGCCAGTCCAGTAATGGATGATCCAGCTGCCTGTAGTTGGGGTGAACAGATCCATGGTTTCCTCCCCATAGCCCTGTCAGTGGTGTTCAGTACATATATTCCTCCTGTGTAGCCCACGGACTTCTGTAGAAACAGATCTACAGGGCTTGAGGGTGGTTGTTTTCTTTGTTTTCTTCTGTTTCCGTGTGTGTGTTTTGGTTTTGCCAGCCCAGGTTATGGCTTGGAGCATATAAACATTCAGAGGAACAATGTGGGTGAGTCCAGGGAGACTCATGTCTGGTACTGAGGATGTTAAGGATAAGTCTTTGTGCTCCCGAGTAAGATTTCTTTGGCTATTGGAGTGTTTTCTTACTGCTTGCCAGGAAGAAACCTAATCAGACAAGCATCTGTCTTCCAGCAACTTGCATCATCTTTTGTGTGTAAATTATAATATTTTAGACCCACGTGGCTTTGCTTGAAAAACCAAAGAAGGGCTTAGGGCAGCCTCTGTGGAACTTCTCTGCAGGAGCCTGGTGGTCTGGGTTCTCCATCGTGCATTTCTCCTTGGGATCCAGGTTCTGTGAGCCAGGTGTGTCACTGCAGGTGGCAGGGATGCTTTCCTGGTAGGTGACCCCAGGGGCAGAGGCTGTGCCATGTGACCTCAAACAAAGTCAGCTCATCCAAACATCCTGAACCCTGACAGATGAAAAAAAATCAGTATTTATAGGCTGCCCAAAGCAGCACATGAGACACTGACTTTAAAGCAGTCACCTAATGCATCTCCTCAGCCTCACATGATGGGGAAAGGAATTCTTCACACAGTTCCCTTCACCTGTCTTTTGGCCAGAACCTCAGGCACAGTGGGTGCATGAGGTGTCTAAGCCTCAACAGCATCTTAGAGCCATTGATGAACCAGAAATAGAACGATCTCATACTAGATTATCCACTTAGAGGGACCTACAGTTGCGTAGCTGCACTTCCAGCTTGCAGGACTGATTGTAAATCCACTAAAAATAGACCTTTATTTCACACTAGTCTTACACATGCTCCCTGTCAAAATGCTTTTAATTTCCCTCTCTGACGTGCACTGGTATATTTTGTATTCCTCTCAGCGTTTCTGAGAATCACAGGCAAAAGTGCTTTTCAGGGTTGCTACTCCTATAGAGCCAAAGCTCTGCACTTTCCTTAAAATAAGCCTTTAAAGATTCATCTGGATGCCCAGAGCCATGGCACTATCCCACAAATGCTGTCAGAACTGGATGTCCAGTAAATTAATTGGGGAAGTGATGTAAACTTCCATAATAAGGGGCACAGGAATCCTTGGCTATAAACAGTGGAGGGGGGGAAATTCTGTTTTGGGGGTAAGGAATAGCTAACAACTAACGCTGAAGTTGTAGCTCTGGGTGGGAAGGTTGACGTGGCAGTGGAAGTGTCAGGTTGGAGAAGGATGGAGGGCCAGCTCTGGAGGCTGGGGTTTGGTGCCTAAAGCTTGCAGGATCTTCTCTCCCCCAGTTCTTCCGTTAAGGGCTCTGTACACTTAACACAGCTCTTGATTGGAAATTGTTCCCCTGAGTGCAGATTCTTTTATCTGTATGTAAATGCTCCTTCGTGCTCAGTTCTAGGCCGTGTATTTCGCTTGCTGTGTCTGTCACTAGAGAGAGGTTTGAATAATTCCCTGATTTTTTTTGGAACAGGCGTGTTGCGTTTGGCGGATCTCTCTGGGCTCGGGAGCGATGCATTTCCCCGTGTCAGCTGTCTGCTGCCTTTGAGTGATGGGGTGACAGCTCAGGAGGGAAGCATGGAGACCTTGTGACCTGTGGAAGGAGGAAAAAGTGTGATGGAGCTGTATGGAATTAAATTAGTTTACTGTCTCTGAATATGGCTTATCACTCGCTTTGATCTTTGCTTTAAACTCTTTGTGTTTGCATTGGGTTTCAAATCAGGTTAGTTCTCAAATTCCCTTCCCCATCCAGGTTTTTCCCTCATTCTCAGATGCTTGTGAGTTTCAGGCATCTGCAAAATACCTGTTGGGTGGATATGATTTAAGAAATTCCTTTTATAGAATCACAGAGTGGTTTGGATTGGAAGGGACCTTAAAGATATCTCCGTTCCAACCCCTTGCAAGGCACAGGACCACTTCCACTCCAGGTTGCTCCAAGCCATGTCCAGCCTGGCCTTATCACAACATATTGTTGAGGTGCAGAACTGGAGTGTCATGGGTTGGGTTCTTCTTTACTGGTGGAGAGTGGGGACGGTTTGGAGGTGAAAATGGAGCCCTGCACAGCTTTGGGGTGTTTTTGCACGTGTCCTGTTGCCGTGGCTGCCACAGTGACTCACTTCGAGATGTCGCTGATGGAAATGGGGCGTTTGGGTCTCTCCAGTCGGTTCCTACATGAGTCAGACTGAGAGACAGCTCCGTGTTGCTGACTCCTACAGCATGGGGACAGACAACACCGCGACATCGGGGGAATTTAGACCAGGGTTATGATAAAATTTTCCTGAGTGAATTGCTGCTTTTCGGGCCTGTTCCAGGCCATGTCCTGTGGCTTTTCCAGACCATGTCCTGTGCCTGTCTCACCCTGTCTTTCCTCACTCAGCCCCAGGTCTGTGAGCTCAGTGCCTTTGCATTCCGAGAGCAGCACTGTCTGCTGCCGGGGAAGGCAGGAGCCGGCGTGTGGTCGGCAGCTGTAGGGTAATCT